TTTTTTTTTTACATATATTTAGTAATGCAACAATTGATGAAGTATGGTCATCTATGTACAACATGCAGCTTACGGCAATTAGGTCAAAAAGTACACAAAACTTTGTATATACCTGCCATCCCAGACTCGGTTGCCACGGTGAAACACGTAGACTCCTCCTTTGTTGTCGGTGGCAACCCCTCCCACCTGTCCAATTGGATAGTCAAGGCCACTCACAGAAGAACTACTCATGGCTTTGTCGGACATGAAATCTGACTGGAAGTTTACGTAGTGTTGAAGACCTGTAAAAACCGTCACATTTTATTACATAAGGAGATACTTTAGTTATACAATCACAGAAACTCAATTACACATTTTTCTATAATCTAAAATGAAAACGAAGAAAAAAATATTCATAATCATATCAAATACAATTTTCAATGATTTATAAGTCAGCCAAGAAGTAAGTACCAACTGACCAGTGACACTTGAGCTTGTTGTGATTTAAACTTCCATTCTTTTGATTGATCTATTTGTTAATGTAGAAACAGATGTCACGTAAATACGATTTAGTTAAATACTAGAGTCTATATATCTCCTGTCTGTATTAAACTCATGCATTCCTATTTGGTTTGATAATTACTTCACTCCAGCACCATCAAACTGGTAATTAGTTGTAACAACTCTAAATCATAGATTAAAATATACCACAATCAATATAAATCCATCTGAATTATAATACGCAAATCTTTACAATCTAATTAAAATTAGATCTTTACATTGTGTAAGAAATCAAGGGTTGTCTTGGTTTTCATTAGCTTGTTAGAAATATGATTATTTATAGAGGTTGAATGTGACATGGCCCTTAATTATATGTTATCAGATTTTTGATGGGATATATCTATAAATAGAAGTAATGTGAAGATCTAATTTTCATTAGATTACAAATATATACAGGGTTACAGTAGTATTTTACAATGACATTTACGACTAACAAAGAAAAATGTTGATGAAACTGAACGTGATAGGATGAAGATGATTCACATGACAACAACAGAAACTATAAATAGATACACTCACAATACTAAAGTCTGACAAAAACAAACAACAACTGGATAACAGCCCTCAAAAACAACAAAAAACACATCCAAAATTAATAATAAGCAATATCTGGAAGCTGTGTCTAAAACTTCTTTCTTAGCAACTTCATTTAAAATTCTTTAACTAACAACTGCAAGGTCATTCAAATTCATGAATTTAACTGCATCCAGCTATGAAGCAAATAAATATGATGGTAACAGCGCTCACGTTTTAAATCAGGCATATTTTAAAAGGCAATAAGAGTTTCATGACAATCAGCAGAAAGTCAGGGTAAATTTAACACAACAAAGGGATTATGGGTAACAGCCATGCTGTGTACTTACTACCCCCGACCTTGACCTTCTTCACTGGGGCGGGCATGGTTCTTGTACCATGAGCTAGTCCAAACTCAGATTCCCCAAACTTTTTACGAGGATCATGAAAATTACGACCCTGGGTTTCTGGTTGAATTCCATTAAACCTATTGTCAGCTACGGTGTCTCGACTTGTTTCACCATAATGTCGGCTCAGACTGTCAAACACCTTATTCCTATTCCGATTTTTCATTTGAATGTCAGGCGATGCCATATCATCTGCAGTGCCCATGTATGGAAGTCTATTCATCGCTTCACCATAGTAATCAAAACTTTGATGTGGCCGTTTTCTGCCACGTTGCGATTCTACATCAGAGTAATAGTCGTCCAGTTGATAATCAGGAACATATTCCCTGGGGTAGACATTTTGTTTAAAGCGGGATGGTAAATATTCACTGTACAGAATGTTGTTCAAATTACCTGGCTTACTGCCATCTGTTGGTTTGTCGATTGTGTTTGGCGCGACGTCCGAGTCTTCGTGACCTTGCATGTGACTTCTGTGACCATGTGCCGCAGCCTCTAGAGTGGCGTTGTATGGGAGCTGTACATCTGAGCCTGGAGGAAGGTTCGTGATCAGACTTGGCACATTGTTGCCAACGCACTGTGGGAAGGGGATCTGTGTGCTGACCTCCTTGTAGTACATGATATAAAAGTTACACATCTCATCCCCTGCTGTGGGCCTGAAAATTATACACACATCATCATGTAAAAATTATACATTTTGTCTGATACACACAGATCAGGTCATTGTACTAGCAAGACGACAATTGTTCATTATGTTGGTACCGCCATTGACAATTGAGATAAGTATTATATGCATTTGAAGAAAAGCTGAGAACATTTGAA